TCTGTCTGTCTGTCTATCTATCTATCTATCTATCTATCTATCTATCTATCACAAACTAAACTTAAAAGAGAATAGAAAGAAGTAAAAAGTGCGAGAAAAAATAAAAAAGAAGAAAAGAAAAAATATAATAAAGAGAAAAGAAATATATAAAAAGTTACTTCCAACCTTCATCACAAGTATAACAAATTTAGTAACTCTTTACCTTCTTTACAGTTACAAACATTAATCTCTTCATCCCATATTCTATCTCTTATCTATAAATAAATCAATCCATAAAGCATCATCTTTTCAGTCCTGGTGTCAGCAGAAAGTCCATAAAGGGTAGTGAGAAGAACAACATACCTTATTTTAACCTTGATCAAATAAACCAACTTTATATTCCTTCCTTTTACTTCAAACAGTCTTAATCTTTAATTCATTCAAATATTGTCATAGAATTTTATTTCTCTTCATTTCTTCTTTGTCCCATCACACAGAGTGTTTCAAGGCTTTAACAAGCCTCTTTTGTAAATCCAGTAGGAAAACATTATCCAGGCCATTCTCTTGGTTTGTCATTTGTATTTCTCTTTTAAATTTTAAAACCTCAGCCAATTTCCTTTGTAGATCCAGTGAAACATCCTTTTCTAAATAATTCTCTTGGCCTGTCAGTTGTAATTCCACTTTCAATGCCATCTCTATCTTGTCAGATAAAATTTGTTGACATTTCTTCAATGGCATCTTTTAGACATAGTCTGTCCATAGAGGCAGGCATCATTACTGACATTGTTGATAGTATGGCTATTGTTTTCTGATTCCATTCTTTAAAAGTCTTCTTCAGTATTTTTATTGTTATAACATTTTGCACCATCTTGCAGGCTGGTATATATTTCATCTACCTAAAATCTTTAGTCCCCTCTAGTGTCCAGTTTTTGAAATCATGAAAGGTTTTATCTATGTTAAAAGCCATTTCCCATGAGAAACTGTTTGTACTTTATAATTAATTCCAAAATTGTTTTGTAAAAATTTCAATATTCCAATTTTATCTGGACCCCTAGTCCATTTATAACTTTCTAGGATCAAAATCTTACTTAGCTTTTTGCTGTTTATTTCAGATTCTTTAAATTCTTAAGCTTAT